CTCAATTGAACTTTGGAAAGTAGAATAGCAGTTGAAAGCTTTGCAAAGAGCATACGCTCAATTGCAGTCACTGGCTCTCCCACTCTCTCACTCTCCCTCTCTCTCGCACACACATTCACTTTGCTTCGCTTGGACAGTCGAAGGCGGCTGTGGCTGTGCACAGTAAATGCGACGCAACAGCGCGTTGAGCTTTGAACGACAACCACCCGAAAATGGCCAAACGACTTGGCGATTCAGCGACTCGTTGAAAAGCTCTCAACACCCCGTTAGTTGAGCGCATGCGTCGACATAGTTCAAAAGTCGCGCTCAAAGCTCTCATTCAATGCTTACGCTCTGGCGCACTCTCTCTTAATCTCTCCATCTCGCTCGCTCTAGTTGCGTTACGTGTGGGTGGTGGTTGCCCAGCGTGGGGTTGCGGTCTGTTTGAGTTGTGTCCAAGTGTGGGTGGATGGTTTTTCTCTACCGCACGTTATTATTGCTATTATTGTTGTTGTAGTTGTAATAATGCAGCAACAGCAGTGGCAGTGGCAGCGCCAGCAGCAGCAGCAGGCGGCGTTTTAGCGGCAGGAATGTGCACTTTGTTCATGTTGTTTGTGCTTTGTTGCTGTTGCTGTTTCTCTCGTTGTTGCTGTTGTTGTTGCTTGCTGCTACTGCAAATTGCCTCGTAGCATTTAAGTCGAATTATGAAACTCGGTGCAGGCAGCTACTGCTGCTACCGCTTCCCGCCCTTCGCACACGCCGACAACAGAAGCGAAGCACCCATGCAAAACGCCAGGAATGGGAATGCGAATGCGCCTAAGGGAGAATACCTGTATTTTAATTAATATTGATTGAACATATTGAGCCGTGCAGGTGTGCCTTAATTTAATTGTGTTTATTTTGTTAACAAACAAAAAACTTTCATGGCTTATCAAATTTTAAGCGCATAAGGAACGTTTTTTTTACACCTTGTTTGTATAAGTATGTAAAATTTTATGGAAATTTCCATTTAATAGTGTTTATATACAAACGCTTAAGGAACAGGACTTATTTAATGCATTCGTAGCTGTGTCAATATTTTAAAATCAATTATCAATTGTAAATTATGTAGCAGGCAATACTTCATAGTCAAATATTCATATCAGCTAATAATAGTATTGAACATTTTAATCAGCAAACAAGTATACTTTTAACGGCTCAAAAGAAAATACCAAAAATATACTTTTTAACAAATTCAAATAGAACTTGGGTGATATAGTAAACATTAAAGCTGCAAAAAAATACAACTTTTATTGTATATAGATATCAATTAAGATAATCTTCAAAACATAATTATTTCAGATTAAAGAAATTATTAAACAGTAATTCATATTGAACGCATATTGCATCGTTAATCCACTAACGAACACTACGTAATGTATTATGGCTTACGTCATTCTTGGTATTTTTCATTTAACACGCCGTTTCTCGATTGGCCACTTATCGTCTGGCCGCCACAGCGATAAACAGCTGTTCTGCTAGATAGCGTAAAACAATAATCGTCCGGTCACAACAAATTCATTTTAACAAGAAAGAAAACATTAGCTTAAACGAAAAGCAATTACGCTCGAGCATCGTAACGCATCGATTTTGGAAATTAATTAAAATAGCCTTGCCATTATGAATGTGTTTGTGTACGTATTGTGACGACAGCAAGAGCAGCGAGGCGCAATAAATTCATTTAGAGCAAGCCAGAGGCCATTCGGATCCCACGATGTCCGCTGAGGAGTGCCTGTGGCGTGAGCACGTTGTCCAAAGATTGCGCGAACGTGACCGCAAGGAGTGCGAGAACTTCAAGGAGATTATTGTGCAAAGTGAGTAACATGTGCACACGCAAGCGCATACATACACATATATTTATATATAGACTGCAGACAAAGCCTGAGGGCGAGTCATTTCGATTGAGTGCGTACTAACTAAAAGCTTGTTCTATTCCAATGAACACCATCATAGACAACCGCCTCATAGATCATGTTGCGCAATTAAAGTCAGACAATCTCAAATTGTCCGTGGAGAACGAACAACTGCGCAATGCCGTGTCAACAGGTGGCACCGGTCCCAATGTGGCCATTGCCACGCTGGAAAAAAAGCTGCTGGCGCAACAGGAGGAGCTAACGGACCTGCACAAAAGAAAGGGCGAGCACTCCCAAATGATTGTCGATCTAAATCTCAAAGTGGAGCAGCAAAAGGAGCTACTTTCCGAAAAGGAACACAGGTATGTACTAAAGAGAACTCTTGCCAATTCCGATTCAATTGATGCTGCTCTCTCCCTCCCTCTCGCTCGCTCGCTCGTTTCAGTCTGTACGACCAACAAACTGCCAACAATCGCTTAAGGGCTGAGGTGCAGCTGCTACATTCCAGCCTGGAGGAGCTCAAGAAGCTGAACACAACCTTGCTGGACGAGCACACGGCACTACAGTTGGCCTTCAGTTCCCTGGAGGAGAAACTGCGCAAGGTGCAGGTTAGTTGTGCTGATTCCTCAGTTAAACATAATTGTTGTAGTATTGCTTTACAATTTCTAAACAAAAAGAGTGAAATGACAGTCCATGCAGCTTGCCGTTTGTTAGTTTATGAAATTGTTGTTTCGTCTCAGCCAGACTCTTCTCGGAACTGAATATATAATCAGCTACGAAACGAGCAGACGTAAATTTGTCTTGTTTTATCTTTCTACTGCCAAACTTGTTTCTTTGCTGTGGCGTAAAAGTTTTTATGGGTCAAATCAAATGAATCTGCATATTAATGAATGTATCTCTCATACATTATTAATTATAAAAATTGCCTTAATTTGAAATTTTGTTACTTTCTTTCGACTTACAGGATGAGAATCGCTACTTGCTGGAACGTTTGATGCGCTATCGGGCAAAAGACGCCGATAAACTGAATGAAGAAAACGAAAGTTTAATAAGGTAACAAACGCAAAGGCAACAAAACAAAAAAAGAAGTGAAAAGAAAAAAGAAGAATGCTTTTATTTTGATAATTTTGTTTTTCGTTTTTTGTTAAACGTGCACTGCATTCATTTATGTTATCGGTTCATATTATGATATTGTATATATATCTATATATACATATAATATTTATAGAAATGTTGATAAGTATTGGCTAAAACTTGCAAATCTCTTGGGTATGCTAAAAATATATATTTTTAAACAAATAAAAAACAAAATCGTTTTCACAGTAGATTTGAAGAAATTGCATGAAACAGATATCATCTAATTTACAAAAGTTGTGTGTAAAATATTAATAATTTGAACTGAAAGTGAAACTCAGTTTGTGATATCAATTCTAAGTATTATAAAACACGTTAACAAGAGATCTCTTCTAAGTATGACAACAAATTCTAGATTTTCAGCAAATTATTTTTGAACACTTTTATTCATAGAGTTTTGATTAAATTTTATCACAAAATTTTGAATTCTTTAACTACGCTCGCTACTTACATAACTCGCAAGCTTGTTCATTGGGCCATTAAAAAATTAATAAATCACATTGTTATGCAACTAAATTGCTTTTGTTAAAGGTAAATAATCCCGATTCGTATCTATCTATCTAGACGGGCTTTTTCGAATTTAATATTTTTTGTTTTCTTGTTTTGCTTTTATATGGTTCAACATAAACATATGTATGTAACCGATTTCGAAAATATCTAGAAAAAGACTGCCGTCACTTTTCAGAAAACGTTCGGCTAAACTGAAACGTGATTTGGAGGACGCCGTACGCGAATCGAATTCGGCGGTAAATCCGATTGTTCCTGCACCGAGCGGCACGCCACTGCATCGCAATTCGAGTCCAGCCCAGTTTGGTGGCCCCGCTGGGAGCGACGACGAAATTGATGAAGCCTCAATCAACGGCGCCATGGAAGCCTTGGCTATGAACGACGACGAATATATCAGTGCCAGATTTATGGGCGGCGAAGCTGTCCATGACGGTGTGCGTCCCAACATAAATACCTCCATCGACACTCTCAAGGCGGCTGGCTACCTGGGCCAGCCGAATCCGACGAAGATCTTCATGAAATTCGAGGCGCATGAGAACGAATCGCATGCAGTACGCTGGAGTCCGGTGGAGCGCATGGTAGCCACGGGCGGTGCCGATAGGAAAGTCAAACTCTGGGACGTTGGCAAAGGTAATTCCCCGTAGATTAATTGCACGGCAGCCGAAAGAGATTTGATGTTTATTAACTGCAATCAATGCTCGTTAGGTTCGACGGAGCCGCGCGCTGTGCTGAGCGGAAGCAGCGCTGGCATCAACTCTGTGGACTTTGACTCCACTGGAGCCTACATACTGGGCACATCTAATGACTATGGCGCCCGAGTGTGGACAGTAATGGATAATCGACTGCGGGTGAGTTGAACGGAGAGTTAAGGCTCTGAGAGCCATTCAAAATAGAGCATTTAGATAGTTCTATTTGTTATCTTTGTAAGTAGCAAAGCAGAGGCAGGCAGAGATATGAAATTAAGAACGTTTACCTATGTAGATATCATTCTATTTAAATATATATACATATATTATATCTTGCTAAACAAAGACTATAATATATGCATATATATTTATTAAATCATGTCAAAACAAAATGCTAGACATGTACGCTGTAAAATAATTCCATAATCGAAATCAAATGATAGGGAATGTCCCAGTCTGCTCGACTAACGTATACCCTGCCCAAAGATTGAATACACAGCAGCAAAAAATGTAGATAAAATATATTGTTATTAACTCTAAATTCATCTGCTTTATGACAACTTTTATTTCTTAATTTTAATATGCTTATGAATAATAATTTACTCAAATTTCTTTATGTTTAAAACATATTTATTTGTCTAAACGAGTATTTAAAAATTATTTATTTTTTCTTGCTTTGTTTTTTTTTTTGATTCATTAAAAATATTGGAAAAAAAGACAAGTGTATTCAGTCATCTTTTCTTCCAAATTAAAAATTATTATAATTATTATTATATTATTATCATTGTTACAACTACTATAAATTTATCTAATGCAAAAATTTATACTAAAGAATTTCGAAATATCACTTCTATGTATAAAATATTTTACGAATATGATGTCTCTTAAATGATTAATGTGTATATCTAGAATATTGCATGATTTTGCACCGATTCCACCATCGTTTACCGCAATCGAAGCAAAAAGAAAAAACCCCAGTATATAATGAATTATAACATCATTTTCGCTCACACCTTGCACAGCTTGCTTGGCTCGGGCTCGGGCTCGATCTCGGGCCCTGCTTATCAGATTATTTGCCGAACGCGATATTGTTGCTGCCGTTGGCTCTGTAGTCCGTGGCGCCATTCAGAAATTGATTAACATATGGCTGATGGACCTGTCGTCGCCTATACAAATACGACCAAAGGGCGATAACAATGAATTGCGCCACAAAAAACACAGTCACAGCCACAATGAAACCTGAAACAACAGAAGCTTGCTTTAGACTGCTCAATGTGGAGGAGGGCTTTCCCATGTGGCTTATCAGAAGTTGATTAGCGAGATATCTGATATGTGGTACTCACCGATGCCATCGAAACAGAGGCCGGACACGCCCTCGTTCACAAATAACACATTGTCATACGAATCGTAGTCCTTCAGCTTATTTGTCTGCCTTTGCTGCTGTTGCTCCTGCTGCTTCTTGGCGAAGCCAAATTTATCGGTTATCTGTATCGATTGCACGAGCAGCAAATCCTCTTGATTTGTTTTGTTTAGCACCTGTCTGACCTCACGGCTGTTGCGCTGATGATCTGCTGGAAGAGAATGGAGAGAGATTGAAATTAATCTGAATAGAAATGGGTCAACTAAAACTTACCCTGATCATATGTGTCACGCCTACGTCGGCGTCCATAGGAGGTTTGTGTCCTGAACTCCGCCGTAATGTCATCCTGTTCGCAGTTGACGGGCTCGCAGCTGGGCATGCAGGGCGTGACGAGGGCGCGAAACTGCACCACATCGCTTGAGGGGAATTTGAAGGCATCGAAATTGGTAAATAGAGTTTTGCCAGACTGTTCGCTCTTGAGAATGGGCCCCATAATCAGGTGATCTGTGGGACAGCCGTGTGCGTCGATCAGCGTTATCTCCGCATTATCAGCGCCGTCCATGGCAACCAGTTCGCGCACGAATATTTCGTATGGACTCTGCTGATCGGCTATTTCGAAGTGCAGGGCCAGGGGATCGCCCACCTCGGCAGAGCGCATCATATCGGAGCCATTCCTGGCTGAGATACGCATCAGCACATTGGGCGAGTCCACAATGACCTCCTCAGAGAGCGCTGTCTCCACTTCGCCCTTGACGCCCAGATCCAAATCGTTGGTCACCGACTTGTTGGTCAGATCGTACTGGCAGGTGACGGCCAGACCCAGGTCGGACGAGGTGACTATCGTGTCGTGGTGCTGTATCACCACGTCATTCATGTAGCGACCCGCGCCGCTTTGGCGCACATTGCACTCCAGATTCTGGTAGCCCATGCGGATCTCAAAGTCCAGCGCACTGGTCACGTCCACAGCGCACGACTTGGGCGCGCCCTTGGCATAGACCTTGCCATCGAAGAGCTTCGAGGTGCGTATGCGAGCGACCATGTCGCCGGCTCCGCACTCGATGGTCACGTTGTAGCAGGAGGACAGCTCGTAGGTGGCCGCCTCTGGCACCTCCAAATAGGGGTCCTGCACGTCGGAGAGCGTGGCGCGGCTGTGATGCGAGAGGCGGCAAACCATGTCGCCGGTGTCTCCATAGTCGTAGGAGTGGCATCTGCGAGAGAAAGAGAAAGAGAGAGAGTTGAGTCTTAGAGTGAGCTGAGTCTTGTATATTCCTCACCTGTATGGCGAATTGAGACACAGCTCGCGGCACTCGTCCACGCTGCCAATATCCTGATAGACCGAGTCCACAGTTTTCAGTATGCGACCTGGCAAACGCTTGAACTCGCACAACTTGTTCGGCTCCTCGGCACAATTATTTTCCAGGTAATCTGTGCCCGGGTGTGCCTGGAAGGCGTTCGAGCCGGCCAGAGTAAAACGATCCATTTCGGACAGCGTACAGCTATTCGAATCACGATGGTAATTCGCAGATCTGCAAGAGATGCACAATCGAAATATGATTTAATAATATATTGTATTGTTGTATTGATTATCCCATATTAGTTGTTCTTACTCTATAATAGATAAAAACTATAGTCATTAGTGAACTTCATGATTATCATTTGACTATTTGACTATCGTTATTAGTAAATATCATTATTATTATCATTAGTCAGTTAGAATATACGCTTGATATATATCTATACTATATATCGATAATTTGTTATTTTGATAGGGAACATCATCAATATTATCACTATAGACTTGATCATCAAGGTAATCATTATTTATTTAGTTGGTCGGCTCTATCTATAGAACCATTTCAATTCCATCCAGTAGCACGAATCACTTCAATTCTAGTTGCACTCATTATTTATTTAGTTGGTCGGCTCTATCTATAGAACCATTTCAGTTCCATCCAGTAGCACGAATCACTTCAATTCTAGTCGCACTCAATATTTGATTCAATCACCTGCATATGAATTCCGTTTCGCCAAGACACAACTCGAGGCAATCACGACGCGATGTCACTGATACGACTCGTTTTGCATGTCCATCCAGTCTGTAGTTTTGTACTCGATCGATGCACCAGGCTCTGGAGCATGGACGCACGCCCAAGCAGGTTTTTTGCGCGTAAATTGTGAAAACAGGAAACTGTGATTTAGTGAGGGAACCTGGTCAATTAAATTAAAGAAAATATTGAAGAAATCAATTCATTAGAAACGTAGCTCAAAACTAAATTCCTTTATTCAATATTAACTCTAGCGTTTGCTCGTTCCACTTACCGGGCAGAATATCAGCATTCGATGAAAATAGAACGCATAATCCAGTTTCGTAGTTAACGGATTGACAAGTTTCGTTGGTCTGACACGATTCCAGGCAGTCGGTGAGCATCAGTGTGCCCGGCAGCGAGTCCAGCAGTCGGCCAGGTGCGGAGAAAACATAGCTGTAAACGAGATGAACAGAAATTAGAATTCGAGTGATCGTGAAGAATATAAATATTAATTATTTATGAAATAGGTTTGTAGGTGGCAATAAAATATTCCTAATGATTCAAGTTCATTGAAGTATATTATATATACATAATCTAATATTGGATGTATGCAATGTATAGATCAGATCTCAGATTATATATATAGTATATCATGTAATATATATATTGATATATTATACAATATATATATACTGATCTTAGATGATCGAATTCCTTGTTTAATTAAGTTCACTTTGTTTATATTCTTATACACATATATCTCTCCTGTTCTCGCTCTCTTCCTCTCTCTTTCTGTTTTTCACTTACACTCTATCTCGCTCGCTCTCTGTTTTTCACTCTCTCTCTCTCTCTCTCTTTCTCTCACTCTCCCTCCCACCCTCTCTGGTTTCATTTCCCTCTTCCATATCTTACCCTGTAATAATTTCGAAGCCCAACAAATCTGGGTCACATTCCTCGGTCCAAGTGTAATTATGATAATCTGGCTGGCCAGCCAGGGAGCTGTTCTCCCCCTGCTCATCCTCAGGCCACTGCTCCTCTCTGAAAAAGGGCTGCGGTGCGTCAGCGTCAATGCCAGTGTGAGCATCGGGGTCTGCGTGGCTGGCATCTATAAGTGAAATGAAAATGATGGCATTCATGGTTAATCGTCGCATTAACAGGTAGCGGGTTCACGTCGCCGGCTACTGTTTGTTGAGGTATTTACCGGCAGCCAATTTGGTGTTTGTTGTTGCTGCATTGGCATCGGCATCGGCATTGGCATTGGCATTGGCATTGGCCACGTACAATGATTGATCATTCTTCTGGCTGGGATCGGCTGGGCTGCTGTCGGTGCTCTTTGTTTTGTCACTTTCAGGCACTGATGCTGGTGCCAGCTGAATGGCGACGGGCACCATCTCTGGCTCCGCCAAATTGTCCCTTGCAGCTGCCTCCAGACCAATGCGCGACCTACGTGCATCTCCCGAAGCGCACAGCATCAGCAGCATGAGCAGTAGCTGCAAGTGCGTTGGCCTCATGCTGCGTAATGGCCTTATGCTGTTTTTCATTGGAAATATTTTCCTCAATATGCGTAGAGTGCGGACCTCGGACAGCGGACAGCGGACAGCGGACTGCGGCAGCGCACGTTCTCTCGATTTGTACGATTTGTGTGCTCCTCTCGCACTCCACTCGACTGGCTAAAGAAAAACAATAGCAGAGGTATTAATTTAATTATCTTTTCATGCCAGCTCTGGTGTCTGAGGTGTCGTTTAGTCCGTTCAATTGCTCTGGCGCCCAACCAGGGGACTACCATTACCCATAATTGTATGTTAGTTGTTGTTATTGTTGTTGTTAATAAGCCTTAATAGGCTTATTATAGTATAATGACCTTTCCGCATCTATCGACATTTGTTCTTGTTCCCTGCACAGCTCTTAGATCTATAGAACCAACTATTTTTATTTGTTTTCAATTAGAGTTCTCAGAGCTTTGCTGTGTGAGCTTCACTCCATAATTCTCTAAACAGGTGTTTCTTGATATGGGATTACATGGAAATTGAAGTAGAGTAGAATATTGCGCTACTATGCACACTTCACACTTGCTTGGGTCTATAGAAAGTGATTAAGATGAAGTCTTTGAATGCCTGTAGTTAGCTGGGTAGGGGGAAATATCATCTATATTTGGTTATCTATTTGGTTAAAAAGTTGAATTCATAAGTGGAATTTCGAGCCTATTTATATGAAAAACTAAGTGAAAAGTTAAATTTCTTAGAGATATTTATAAATCATATATGTGTGCTTTCAACTTATATATAGAAAGAATTCTTATAGTATTCTGATCAAGAATCAAACAGTCTTTGCTTCAATCAGTTCTTGTCTAATCTTTTGCTAGCATTCTTAATTCCTAAGTCCTTTAATATAACTTCAAGTTGTGTCCATTGTTTGCCTGACTACAGTTCAAAATACGAAATCAACTAACGAGTCAACTGAACGTACTCTCTCGCTGACATCTATGGAATGACACGAGCAACTCGAGTCTCGAATGCAACATTGACGAGTGACATCTGCTGATTGACAGTTATCGACGTAGACCAGGTTGTTGAGGGTTATATGGGATAAGTTTTTAATATGTGCGACTAAAATAACTGACGGGGCAACGTGCAGTCGAACTTTTTAATGGGCCGAAGAAAAGGGAAGAAGAAAAAAATCGATATATGTATATAAATACACATGTTTATATTTAGAAATGATCGTGGATGGCTTTGGGAAGTTCTTTAATCTGTGCGATTGAATTTCATTAAAGTGCCGCTAAATGCTTGCCTTAAATGGAAATCTATATAAAATATCGATAAATATCGGCGCACTTAACCTTAAATGGAAATCTACATAAAAATATCGATATATATCGGTGTACTTAACCTTAAATGGAAATCTACACAAGATATCGATTTATATCGGTGCACTTAACCTTAAATGGAAATACACATAAAAATATCGATAAATATCGGTGCACTTATAAGCAGCTTTCGATCAGCTTAATATTTCAAGCAGATTTAGTAAAATATATGCCAGTCTCTACTTCCTATAACTAGTTTACATTGTTTATTTTCTATAATATCAATAAATATCGTTTGTCTTATAGAAAATATGGCCGCAGCAGCTCTTGATTTGCTCGCTTTAATCTCTAGAGCTACTTGAGTTAAGCAGTTCTAAATCACATTGTAGCTCTCTTTTCTCACCTCATCATCATCTGACTTTATCTATTTAGTGCAATTAACTAGATACATTTTTATAAGCAACGGCACTAATCACACTCTGAGCCTGTTTAGTTGACTTTAAAAATTATAAAAACATGAGATGAAAGCAGACTAACTTAATATGTTAGTGGGCTTTTGTTGTTGTTGTTGTTGTTGCGCCTGCTTTGAATGTACTTCTTCTCATGGAAGATATTAGCATTTTAATTCATTTGCTCGCTCCTACACATGACCCTATGTAAATGAGTAACAGATTGTAAACAAAGGCAGCAGACAGATATTTTGCATTATAACCCATTTTCAGGCGCTTGCTTTAACCAGAGAAACCACAAAGCATGCTTCGATGCCTAAGTATTCATCGGCTCTGCTGATATCTGACGCTGTGAATATGCAGAAGCCAGAAGCCAGAGTGTGGAAACCGTTTAGGAATTTAACAGAGCTAAATATGCGTGCTAGACTTGAGATTGAGAAGTTTACAGAGGTAGGCCTGGTTAACTATTTTTATCAGAGAGAAGCAAAGTCTGTAGAGTGAAAGTGAAATGGGGCTACATTTTGACTAGCCCAACTTCAAGTTAGTTCAACTGGACTCTGGCCACTGCCTTTGGGCTGTCTTGGCCATGGCTTTGCTAATTGCAATTGGCCAGAAAACGAATGCAGCTGCTGCATAGCTCAACGAATGCCGACGTCCTTCTATTGCGTTGCATGTGCGCATTGCGAGAAATCAAATAAATTGTTAAATATGACAACAGGCTGAGAACCCGCATTGACTTGGCCTAAATAGCAGGAAGGCAGCAGCAGCAGCAGCAGCAGTGGCAGTGGCAGTGGCAGCGGCAGTGGTAGAGGCTGTGGCAGCATTTGGTGCTACACATTGCGGCATGTGACTAAACATATAAGTGCGATTTCTTCCTCGTCTTTCTATGCACTTATGCAGTTGCAGTTGCAGCCGCCGCTGCTGCTGCTGCTGCTGTTGTTGCTGCTGCTGCTGTTGCACCACCTTTTCTAACTGGTATTTCTGGATTGACATTTAAACGGTTCTTTTTGCGCACATCTCGAGATATAGAGTCCCGCTGTCCGCGGCCATTGAAATGAGCACATTGACTTAAGCTGCCTCCTTATCACGCCGCGCCAGCTTTGCGCCTGCACTTCTTACCTGAATTATTTGCCATTGAATTAATGACAGCCACGGCGGCGATCACTCGAAACTCGAAACACGAAACGGTTTCCAATACACACACACACACATGCACAATTCTTGCAGCTGCCTATCTAATTGCCCAAAAATATGCTCGATTGCGTTTCGACCCCATTTCGAGAGTATGACTCTGCCGTCTCCTAATTCTCAGCTGGCCTCCAAAGTGGGCCAATTTTCGGAACGACCTTGTTCACATATCGTCAAGTGGGGAGCTGCTTAAACGTAATGCATGAAGATTGTGCAAGGGGCCCAAGTAAATATTTGTTTTTACTTGAAATATTTGGAAAATTAAGTCAAGTGTGGATTTGCTCCTAGTCTAAGTATTTAAATTAAATATTTATTTTTTTAATTACTTAAAATATTGGGAAAATAGAGTCATAGTTAGACTTTAAACTAATTATTTAAATTGAATGGCTGCTCGAACAGATTTTAATGGGAATATTGAAATACAAAGTTCAAGCTAGGCAAATAGGAGTAATGCACTAAAAGAAATACAATTCGGCATTTAATTTTGCTTCTGGCCACTGTGAGCTCTTTGCAAGAAAGTATTAATATGGATAATGGATAAATGATACTCGATTATTTTAATTATGCAAATAAGGAATATTCTGCCAAAGATAAAGTATTTCTATATTTTACATTGTTTATATGAAAAACTGTTTTTTTTTTTTTTTTTTTTTGGCGGATAAATTTATATAGAGTATATATTATACAATATGTATATCATAATATGATTATATTGCATTATTATGATTATTGTTATTAATTTAAAATTTATTTTTATTATTTGTAATTTTATTGTAATTATTAATATATATTATAATTTTTATTTGTATTATTATATGATTGCAGTTTATTAATTAATGTAGACTTGATCTTTTCTACAACATTTATTTAAATATTAGATATAATATATTAAATATATCATATTGTCATTTAAATTCGTTTCTCTGTTCCTTTTTTGCCAAATTGATTTTTAAAACTTATGGATAAAAAACCATATTTAAATTATTTTTAACATATTTGCTTTATCACAATGCGATGAAAGTGTCAATTCTCAATACTATTTTCAGTTGGATTAAATAAAATATATAAAAATAAATATAAATATATATAAATTATAAATCTTTGTTCATTAAAACTGAAAATTAGATTTTTTGTTTAAATTGATTTAAATATATATATTAAATATATAATTTATATAAATATATTTATATTTATTTATTTATATAAATTATATATTTATATAAAAAAAATATATATATATATTTATATTTATTTATTTATATAAATTATATATTTATATAAAATATATATTTATATAAAATATATATTTATATAAAATTAAATCAAATTAAATCATGCTGTTTAATTTATATATTTAAATCAATTTTAAAAAAATCAAATTTTCAGTTTTAATGAACAAAGATTTATAAAGCTATCCAGCAAAATTATCCAAGTTCCACAAATTTATTATTATTCAGCAATATTATGTATTGAATTGCAGCTGATCACTAGCTCCATTAATTAATTAAAATATCATTTTAGGCAACTATACCTAATTATTATTTCCAAATAATAAACTCATTAACACAGAATTGATTCAATCTAACAAAGTTTTAGAACACTTCTGAGGCCCAAAATAGTTTATGGCTGCCTCGACTCTCTATACTATAATTGTAGTTGTATTATTCTAAATAAAAACTAATTTAATTTTCAAATTTAATGCCGCAAAACGAACGAACGAACGAACGAATGAACGAACACTTGAACACATTTGCACACTTCAGAACATATTAGTTTTAGCATGGGGCTTAGTATCCCACCTTGAGTATGAGACGTACTTGATTACTTGAGTAAGGTTGCCGCAGAACTGAAGTCATTTGGCCAAAGTTATGTTCTTATATTTATAAGTTAGGATGCCTCTTCCGACTGCACTTAGAGGAGCAACTGCTGCCGTTCCATGCTCTATTCAGCATTCCATTCAAGATTGAGCCACCGAAGCTCTGCAGCATACGCATTAACCTTACTTTGAATGCGAGAAACTTTAAGAGAGTCTAGCTCAAATTCTGACAATACGTCAACCGGTGGCACTGTCGAAAGTGCTATTATTCTAAGCAGCGAAAACCCTCACTCTAAAGAGAGATAGAGAGAGAGAGAGAGCAGCGACGGAGAGAGTGAGCGAGTGAGTGAGTGGAGAAACCTGTTGCTTAGTGTGCTGGCCGTGCTCCAACTCTCCAGAACGTGCATTGACCGTTCAGCTTCAGTTGCCGGGCTGATAACATTCCCCTGTGCTCTTTCGGAACTTGGCTAAGAGCAGGAGCTGCGCTTCACTTGCTATGGCTTAGAAAAACTTGGTCAGGGACATGAACAGGCTATTCTGGTTGCCAATACACGCACACAAACACAAACACACGCACACACACACACACACATGATGCAAAAAGAAACTCCTGATATTCCTATTGTATTCATGGCTGCAAGCTGAAGTATGCAAATCAAAATATTTGATTATAAATTATAGTGTGCTATGAGAAGAGTTGGGCCTTAGTTTTAGAGAGTAAGCCGTATATATTTTAGTATTAGTTGACAGAAATCGAAACTAAAACTGAAGTGAATGAGAATTGGGAAGAGAAGAGAGTTGGAAATTGGGAATTTATAGAAAAATAATAATTCATTATTATTTCATTTCTAGCTGATCTGCGATAAATGAATAAAAATATGTATATAAATGTAATTATAAATCAAAGGGAGTCAGCTCAAGGAACTCAGATCTAAATACAAGGAAATGTTGCTAGATATGAAAATTTGAAGTATTGAGATCAAATGTGATGCTCAATTGATAGAACAAATTTAAGATAAATATTAAATACTTTAGAATTATGAATTAAAATATATAATAAATGAAAAAGGGAACTTACCTTTACTTAGATCATTTAATAAAATCTATTAGAATATAGATCAAATATGATCCGCAATTGGTATAGGAAACACAATAGTTAAATAATGTTAAATAATGATACAGAAAATTAATCAATAACAGTCAGTTAAGGGAAATAAACTCAAGGATGCTATTGCAGATCATAAATTATATTATTAACTATAATATATAATCATTAAACAACGACAAATTCCATCAGCATTGACTATTCTCTATGCCAGCTTTACATATTATAGTAAACTCCATATAGAGTCCATTACGATCTATAACTTTAAGCATGCATTAAACCCAGTCACAGATTCCTCTGCTGCTCTCACAGGTAAATGACTGATTGGCAATGAGTCATGAGCCTAACCGTAATTCTCTGTGAGTACAACTGTAACCTCTAAAACTACAGCTAACCCTCTGGGCTGGACCAGCCCCAGCTCGTTGTCTAACTGAACGAAGCGCACAGCATATTATTCAATAATTTGTTTCAAGAGCAGTTGAAGCTGTTGTTGTTCGGTTTGGGTTTACGACAACCTTAATGACACTCTATTCCCGGGAAAACCTGGCCAAGTGACTGTTGTTCGAGATGCGTAATTGTTCTTAATATACGACGCGACGTCGCGAAGTCTAGATTCATATAAAACACACTTGTATAAAATAAATGTATATATATTTTGTCAACTGTGCCCAGTGCGACATTTTTTATGGCGCCCAAAATTTGTTGTTGTTGTTGGTGTTTAACGGCTTTACACCTGGCCTCTTCTTTGTCTTTTAGCACACACTAACGGGTCACAGTGGCAAGGTGATGGCCGCCAAATATGTGCAAGAGCCAATTAAAGTGGTGACCGGAAGCCACGACCGCACTCTGAAGATCTGGGACCTACGCAGCATCGCGTGCATCGAGACGAAGTTTGCCGGCTCCAGTTGCAACGATCTGTGCACCACGGACAGCCTCGGCTCGACGATCATCAGTGGCCATTATGATAAGAAGATACGCTTCTGGGACATACGAACGGAGAAGCAAGCGGACGATGTGCTAATGCCTGCCAAAATTACCTCGCTGGATCTGTCGAAGGGTGAGTGTGTAACGAAAATCGAAAGGAAATATCAATATCGTATTAAATATTGAATTTCATGATCCACAGATTGCAATTACCTGATATGCTCGGTGAGGGATGATACAATAAAACTGTTAGACTTACGCAAGAATCAAGTTATATCCACGTTTTCGTAAGTTCGAGCTAAACGAAACTAAATAGATATACGCATTTCATAATAAATAACCTTTCGCATATGCACAGGACTGAGCACTTCAAGATCAGCTGTGATTTTGCTCGTGCCTCGTTCAACTCGGACGCTTCGAAGATCGCCTGTGGATCGGCAGATGGTGCAATATATATATGGAATGTGAATGGATTTCTCGAGACGACGCTGAAAGGGCACAGGTAGGCGTGGTTATCGAGTTCCTTAAACTACACCTACACACACACTGGCACACACCTATTTGCACTGTTCTCCTCTTTCTTTTTCCTCGTTTGTTTGTTGGCAATCCTAAAACGTAAAGTTCTGGTTCCGTTCCGTTCTTTCGCAGCACGGCCGTCAATGCAGTGAGCTGGAGTCCCAACAGCAATTCGCTGGCATCCGTGGGGAAGAGCAAGAGGTGCATCATCTATTCGGACTCGTAGCCCAAAGTCGGGCTGACGTAATAATTATATCATATACATAAGTATATATGCTTGACCCAGCGATCGCAGCTACGTGGAACAGGCGCACAGTTTCGGATGTCTCTTATCGAATCATCCAGTCAGCAAGTCAGCCGTGTGTCCTCCTTATAATATGTACTTGGATGTTATATATAATATAGTATATACAATATATATGTAAACCGATTCACATTTCAGTGTAACCAACTTTTTTACGACATATTTTGTATGCAATTCTTTAAAGTTAACTCTAGCTGGTTACCTAATATTAATATTATTATCATTACTGTTATGTGTATTATGTGTACGTAAATCTATCAATTAAATATTTAATTTGGACTCTTTTCGCATATTTAGGTTTGAACGAATTTAGCTATTTACTAATATATTTCAAAGCAAAAAAATATTTATTAACATTTATTTTTTTTTTACCAAAATAACTAATGTAAAGAAATCAAGTTTTTTGTAATATGTAAATATGAAAATCTAAATTGTGCATACGATTTTATTTAGATGTGAAGCAATTAAAAGATATATATAATTAAAGTCACTTGCAGTTAGTCTATAATTCTATTCAAGC